TGGTGTCTTTGAGCTTCCACAGTCTGCGGACCGACTCGGTGAAGTCCGAACACCTTGGCAGGACGATCCTTTCCGGCACCTTGGCCCGGTCATTGCCGCCAGAGCGCAACAAATCGATGATGATCCTCCTCTTGATGGCGCCGTCACCCTTTTCCTTGACTATCAGCGCAAGCTTGCTGACCGTTCCCGTCCCGAATCCAAGTAGCGGCCCAGCTCCAGGGATGCCCCTTCCGGGTTGGCCTGCACAGAGGAGTAGTTCTTGAAGGCGGACCTCCACTCCAAAGTCGGGGCTTCCTCCACGGCAGGCGCCTGTGAGAAGTCCGCGTGGGGATCTCGGCGCTCATGCCAAGGGGCGCCCCCGCGCCCAGACCGCCATGTACTTTTCGGGGTCTGCCGACATCTTCTGCCATGCTTCCCATAGGCTGGCCGTCAGCGGGCTTTTGAACTCGAACTTCTCCTTCAGCACGACATCCTCGCCTCGTCCATGGAGCAGATCACGAAGTTCATCCTTCCATGCCTTGATCAGGGTTGGGTCCAGCTTGCAGGAGTTGCCGCCGTAGGATTTGGCCGCCCGCAAAACCTCCGGATACTTCTTGGCAAACCTGCGCCACAGCCTGGCACAATCCCATCCCACCTCGGCAACTTTGCTCAGACGTTTGTTGCCAGGAATGGGTTGCGCATGCCGCCCACCGCGAAGTCGTTCTCGTCCTCCCTCTGGCCTCTCTTCGTCCACTTGTTGTCCGGGCCTTTGTGTTCCAAAGCGTCAGCTGTCCATGTCCACGCTCTCTTCACGGAGGTGCGTGGCTCGGCTTGCTGTTGCTTTTCCTTCGACCCACCACTTCAGCTGCAGGGCGCTGACTTCCGACCTTTTGTTCGCCACCTGGTATTGCCACCATTCCAGATCCAAAGTGCGCTTCCAGGCCTTAACCAGAAGCTTGGCATACTCGGAGCAGAGCTCGGCGGGATACTCGGCAGCGGCTTCCGCACGGTCCTTCCCTACCAGCTGCTGGTGCTTAAACCCTGCGGGACAACAGCATCTCCGGCTCAAAGACGGCAAGCCATCCAACCTTCCCACAAACTTGCCCGGCTTGAACCGCTTGACCCGACATGAGCTCTGGAAGGCGCAGGTGTTGAAGCAGCCTCCACCACGTTCAGCTCGTCGACGAACGCCCTCACCTCCGGGAGCATCCAGATCGGCCCATCTGGACCTCCCTCTGAGCCTGGAGGATTTTCAACGGAGCCTGCCTCCGGCACTTTGCGCAGGCGCTGGGATCTGACGATGTCGGCGATCAAGGAGCAACTTCTTGTCGCCAGCAAAGTGCCTTCATCGGCTTGTCGCTGGAGCTTGCTGTTGTTGGTGGACAACCCGTATATTTCTGTCTTCGAACGAACTGGAGGCGGACCAGGTCCATTGGCATTCCACCTGGCAGCGGAAAACGTCCCACAAGGGGGACCAGCGTGCCCGGCATCCCAGCTTCCGGACTTTGCCTCCTCGCAAAGACAGGTATGGCTCGTCCGCCAAGAGGTCCTCCTGATTCTCTGTGCTCCAGTCCACGGCACGGACCTCCTGCCTGGATGCCTGCTTTGGCCGCCTCGTCCTGGATGGCTATGCCCAAGACGTCCTGCTTGCCCGAGAACAGGTGGAGGAACCTGAAGGACCTCGATCTCTTGAAAGCAGCGAAGTCGAACGCTTCCTCCAGCAAGTCCTTCACCCGCTCCGGCAGCCAAGGCGCGCCATCGCTCCCGAGCGTGAACTGCCCAGGGTCTGTGCTCCCACTGGCGCGCTCAGCCATCTTGACTGAGAAAGGTCCGCCAGCGGTAAGGCTCAAACCCTCAAGTGCACAACCCCTTGCAAGCAGAAACACAAGCTGAGAGAGACGGGCTCTTGGAAATTTTCTCACTTAAGCGGGCAGGCATCATTTTGGTGAGAAGGCGAAAGACAATGCTGGCACTTGTGCACGCGCTTCACTTGGCACTTGCAGTCCCCGCCTGCCGGAACATCAGCGCACGGCCCAGTCCCCGACGCCCAGCTGAAGCAAAGTTGGAGCCCGGACTGGTCCTTCGACTTGCCCTTGCCACCGCCTTTCTTCGGGGCGCTCTCCGTGGTCTCGCCCTTCTTGCCGGCCTTCAGCTTGTTCAACTCCTCCCGCTGTTCCAGGATCCGCTTCTTCCTTGCGGTTCGCTTGTCTCGATTTGCTTGCCTTTTTCTTTCAGCATCTCCGGAACCCGATGCCAAGCTGCCGCCAAGCTCCATGCCAGGGACATGGGCTCCAGCAGTGGCTTCAGCTGCGGCCACTGGTGCCCCACGTCCTCCGGCTGCAAGCCACGAAACCGCCGGGTGTCTCACTTGTTCTGACCAAAACGTGTCATCTCGCGTCAAAGCCTGCAGGCATGAAGTCCACGGTGCGTTGGCATCCCATTCCGCCGGCATAGCTTTCCCCAAAGCGGCGTCTGCGACGAGGTTCCGCCTGATCTTCTCAAGCCTCTCTGCCCTCGCCTTCTCCTCCGCCTGGCATATCAGACCCCAAGCAGCCGGCCACTGGATCACGAGGCGCTCCACCATTTTCTCGTAGTTAAGCACAAAGCGGTCAACGAGACTATCCCCAACATCAGGGCAGCCGTCTTGAAAACTTTCCAGCAGGCTTGCCATTGCTGAAAATTCTGAGGACCAGGCATCTCTCTCATGAGGAAGCTGCCATCGCCAAGGGGCGTGTAGACCCTGAATTTCTGAAGCTTCAAAGCTCGCCTGCCGAATGGCACCCACACACCAAAATCGACATAGGGTGCCTGCTTGAGCAGTATGACTCGTTTATGGAGGCCGGCCAGCTGAGCAGCGGTTGGCTCCTCCTCCTCCTCCGGCGGGCCGCCCATGAGCAAGGAGTACCTCTGGAGCCAAGACTGGACCAACGTATTGTCCGGAGGTAGAAGTTCACTTTCGTCCGTCTGATCCACCAAGGCGGCCATCTTCAGCACACTTTCTTTTACTGCAGCTTGGGGTGGTTTTGCCGAAGTTGCCGTAGAGCTGGCTGGCTCCCAAGGGTCCACGTCCACAAACAGTGCCTCATCTCCCCCAGCCTTCAGAAAGGAAAGTTTCCGAGCCGAGCGCCACACTAGCCCCAACTGAGCGGCCTGAACGACCGATGCGCCCTGATTCGGCGCAATTTGAACGCCACTGATGGCCTGAGCAATGGCCCACTTCGTAAGCGCTGCCACTTGCCTGACGTCCCCTTGAGGGTCGCCCATGACGTCTGTCAGCGCTTTCCAGAGGGGGGCAGCCACGCCCAACAGGCTAAGCAAAGCCCCCAAGTCTTGACATCCCAAAAGTTCGGTCTTGCCCGGCAGGATGTCCATCTCGCCCCAGGCCGATCGCGCTCACCCGCACCGAGCCATGCTTGCGAGAAAACAGGATGGGCCAAACAGGCTGAGCTTGAGAAGCCTCACGGCTCAAGCTTCAGCATACACTCAAAGTTGCCCACCCTCCTCCCTACTTAGCACTTCTTGTTTTGCCTGAGCTTACTACGTGCGCTGCAGGCATGCAACAGGCATGCGCGTGCTGTTCACAAATTGGAAACATGTCATCCCTGCTAGGTGCCAATGCCCTTGCATGGAGTGCTGCTGGAATGCCCTCGCACTCTCCCTTACGATTCTTGAATGGTTTTTTGGAATGGTGCTGCGGTGTTGCTGACGCTATTCTCTTTATTCTCCTCTTACTCCTCCTCCATCTTCGCTGTTGCCTAGCTGACTGCAAAATTGTAAGCCCTCGACCTCCAAGTTCTGCATGGTTTGGTTGATCAGGATCAAGAGCGGCTTGCTGTTGCGAACGTTCAGGAAACTTGTGGCAGCTGTCTGCCAGAAGATCTGTGTTGTGGTGGCAAAGTCACACTTCCCAAGCTGGCTACCGTTGAGCCGCTCCTGGATGATGCCCCCCAGGACCGTATCCTCGTTTAGATCACCTTGCGGCGTCCTACCCTAGAATTGCCAACATACATACACAGGTCTCGGCACAAGAGCTACAAATTTTGCGATGAGTAAGCATCCTGCCTGCATGTTCCCTTCTCTTCCATTCGTTGTCAGTGCCCGGGGCCATGCCGGAAACAAGCAACTTGGTGTCCGCCTGCATGTCAAAGAGGCCGGCGCCAACTGCTCCGTCCTCCAAGGGGAAGCCCGTGACAAAGAGCCGGGTCTGGATTGTCTCACTGAGGTGTCGGCTGTGAATGCTGTGGATCCAATGCCCGTGCAGCGAGAGCTTCTGCGTCCAGTTCTGGATGCCGTCCCAGATCACTGACAACTCGTGCTGACAATCAGACTGCACATATCCCTCGCTGGGTAAGGCTGTCTGGTTCAGCCTGTCAAGCATTTCCCTCTCGGCACTTGTGCAATCTTTAGCGGATGCACTGGCATTCCAAGCAGCTGGACACTGCTGCTTTGGCCCAAGTAGCTGCTTACAGCAGCGGTTGGGGCCCGGGACCTCCACTGCCCTTGTGCCATCCGCGCCCTCCTCATCGCGCTTGCATCGCCTTGCTTGACAGCAGCATCTCATTTCAAAGTCCCCGACTTCCGTGCTGTTAGTTGCGTTTTCTGCCTCCGGGGTTTGTGTGGAGCCTTCATTGCAATTGGCGAGCTGGACTTTGAGGTTGTCGGCTTCCTTATGCAAACCCACAACTTCCTCCAGCGTCTTGTTGAGGATGGCGCTCTCCGTCATCATTTTGGCATTTTCCTCCATCACCCTTCGAAGCCTCTTCTCGCATATCTCATCACCGACGTCTAAGGCCAAGTCGGAGTCCCTTAGGGCTGCCGCAAAGCCCCACAGGAGGAACCGGAGCAACATCACGCGGAGATGAACCCTTGATAAGTTATGAAAGAGCTAAAAAAAGTTCGCAGACTGCGGCCTTGTGGAAAGGCTGCGGTGACAAACTGGCAAAGCACAGGCAGTGGCACAATGCCACGTGGGCTTCACAAATCACTGGTACTGTGGCTCATGGATCTGTCGAGACTGCGGCTGTGGTCCGCCACCACTTCCGTTCCCTCAGTGGCTGTTACGTCCTCGTCCTGGCAGAAGTCGAGCATTAACATTGATTGTCATTTGTCGCTTGACTACTAGCCTGTGATTTCACGGTCGCAATGATCTCTATATTTTCGTGTCTCCCCATTCCCGTTGAGATCTCTCCTCCAAGTAATCGTGGACAATGGTCTCCTGCTTGATTAGCGCCAGGATTTCCTGTCCGAGCAAGGTAGAGCTTGGAAGGCTGACTGTCACTGTGCTGGTTATGGCAGGTTACCTGGTGACTCTGTGGTCTCTTCGCGCTTTTATGGAGGGGAGCCACGAATTCAGTCTTCAAACGTCTTTTTCAGTCCGGACACTTCAGCGTAGTCATGCGGCCAAGGTCTGTGTGAGCCCTGATGCTGTTCGTTGCACAGCACACTGACTGAGTTAAATTCTTCAAATTGCCGCTTGTTGCCCTGCAGCCTGTTCGCCTGGAATGCATGCCGGTGGGAAAAGATTACTGCATCGCATCATTCTTTTGGAAAGGGCGCACGCGCAAACTGAGTCCTATGCATCCTCCTCACCGTCAGGTCCCGAAGCCGGCCAGGGCATCTCAACCATGAATATGAAAACGAGGCTGAACAATGACATGCAGGTGCGGGGTGCACTCTGCTGTAGCTACAAGGACGCACTCATCTCCGCCTTGTCTTTCCTACTTGCTAGGCCAGGCGACTTGCAGTCCAGACCCAGTAGCTTTTGGGGTCTGAAGCCGTTCAAACACTTTTTCAGTCACCGCGAGCAATGGGTGCTTTGTTGGTCTTCTGTGCCCTCGCTGCCATACCTGATATACTTCAAAATGCCTAAGACATCCTACGACCCTGCGCTGTGCCCTACCAAGGTGGTTCCAACCCATCAGCTGTCAGTTGCACTGTGCTTCACATGGTCACGGGTTGTCCCCCTAGCCTGCACACGCTCTCCTCAAGATGCTGATGAGGCCGCACGTGTCAAGCATGAAGCAAGGTGGGGAGCAACTAGATTTCAAACGTTGGGCGCCTGGTAAGCGCATCGGAATGACTGGTCGCTTCACTCAGCTGACAAGGGCAAAGGAAGCAGCCAGGCCATGCTTGTAGCCCAAGCCTTCCCTTCAGCCGATGCTCAATATGCTTCATCGTCCTGCACACGTCCCTCGTGCGCACAGACTATATGTTGCTTTATCCTTGCTGCTTGAGGTCCTGCGTAACTACTTCTGCGTCAGATGAAGAAAAAAGCTGGGCATTACGGAGTAAAACAATTCAAACAGGAACCAAGCGCTGTCCCCCCAGTTTAGAGGAGAGGGCAGCATGCATTGGGCAGCGCTCGATGTCCACTACCAACCACACGCAGCGCAACCATGATCATCTTCTAATCACCTCCCCCAAGGAGCACCATCGAAGCCTCCTAATATCAAGTAGTTAACAGGAAACATAAAGGCCTAATAAGGAATTAGCCTAATTGGGGGAGTCTGAGGTCAGCAACGAGGCTATAAAATGCCCTCAAAAAGGATGGGGGATCTCGTTGATTTCCAAGAGTATGTCATACTTTGAAAGAAAATCTCTGCAAGGGAACTGCCATTACGGCTCGCTTTTGTTCCTTAGATGCTTTGTTCCGAACAGAACTGCTTTGATAGTTAGTGCCACTGCCAAACAAACGGGGCCCCATCGAAGCCTTCATTCGAAATGTCCAATGAGTAATGACACAATTTTCAGGCCGGGGCGGGTTTTCTATTGGGCGGGAGGCACGTTTTTGCACTATGGGGAAGCGATTACCTGGCCCTGCTTGGCAGTCGACCAAGCGCGTGGCGATCAGGGATAACTTGCTGTGTTTTGTCAATATAGCAACTGAACACAGGAAACCACACATCTTGCCGACCGTGCTCTGATCTCTCCCATTGCGTGATCCTGAAACTCCGCATGGTATCCCTGATCTTGCTGCCTTCCCTGTGTTGAAGGCTCTGGAAGATTTAGAGCGTTTAGACTCTGGCACTGTGCACAATGGGCAGGTGCGCAGGAATCATTTAAAAATCATGTAAAGTTCCATAAGCCGAGGCTTCGACAGCTTACCCTCCGGGCACTACCAAGGAACCGCCTCTCCTTCATTTGAACTACCAGGACCTGCCGGACCTCGTGCATACCGAGGAGGTTCAAGGTAGATTCTGCTGAACGGCTTTGGCTTAATGGCAGCCATCGCCTCCAAGAATCTGGTTCAGAAGGCCAAACAAGTGGCTTTGTGCAGGTCCCTTGCCTGCAACATGGCTTGAAGCCTGAAGCTGCCTTTGCCCAATCTCAACACGTAGAATTGCTTGTTTCGTAGATCTTCTTCGCATGGCTTCAGGCTGTGAGGGGAAGACCACCGATCAGCGCAACGCCCGCAACAACAGCCTCAGCTACCAAATCGTTCGTAGGAGAGTGACCCGAGTCCATGCTCCTAGTTTCTAATTGTTTGCCACGTAGCACCGCACCAGCCCCAAGCAGGAGCAGAGCCGAAGGCGTTACTGTGGCTGGCTGAAAGGCCGTGGACCTTGTCCCCAACTCAGCAGGTGCTGAATTTCTAACGGTTTCTCGGAGAGTGTAAGATTTGAGGTTTTGCACAGGAGGCGGTGCCACGTGGAAGAGCTTGGAGGAAAAACTGAAGAAAGTGGGACACGCGACAGATTAGAATCAAGCTGCTCGACTCAGACAGCCTTCACTTTAAGACCGCAAAGGCTCAGGTCAGGTATGCCGCAACTGAATGCATCAGACCTTCCGTGTCATACCTTCGTGCATCTCGGAGCGTCTGAAAGTCCAAATCATTTTCACATTCTCTCACCAAGCGCATATCGGGATGCCACATGGCATGTGTCAGAATGCCGAAAGTGGTGATTGAGTGAGATGACCGCTTTGACAGAGGCTTCACAATCAGAGCCAGCAGGCATGTTTGCTTCTTAGCCCGCAGCACTGGGGGAAACGGCACAGTTTCGCTACGTGTTGTCTACTGCCTTTGAGGCCAATTGCAAACCAAGCTAGAGTGCACTCAACCCAGACCTCTATCTCTATGAGCCCAGCGGAGGGAGGCAAAGAAGGGCGACCGACCCAAGAACCGGCGGAGGGGAGAGGCAGAAGAGGGGCGCGGCCATAATTTTCGGGAGAAATCTTGATTCCCTTTTTCTTTGACGAAGCCTTTCCGGAGCATTTGCGGCCCGAACAGTCTGCCTGTGTCGGGAAGGCTCCACAGCAGCCTAGAGGCCAAACATGGGCACGTGCTTGCGCCGCCACAAATTTAGAAGGTGTCCGGTGCTCTTTTTTTTGGATTGGACGGCGCCTTCCAGCGAATCTACGGCTGGATCAGCCGGTCGTGGTTCCGAAGGCTCCGTAACAGCCTGGAAGCACAACATAACCACGGCACATCCCCATTACCTGCAGCTGCCGCAATTTCAAGAGGAAAAAGTCAGGCTCATTTACTCCAGAAACGCCCTTTCCAAAAAAGTTGCAGACCAGCTGATCGCGGTCCTGAGAGCTAGCAGCCTGGGAACACAAATCGGTTTTGGCCAGTGCCTTTGCCCCAGCCAAAAATTTCCCAGACATAGGCGCTCAATTTTCTTACAGTTTTGTGAGAGCCTCCCCAAAGAGGGGAGGACGGGACTCGCGCCCGTGAGGGAACAGAGGATACCCCCCCTTTCGGCCCCCTCGCCTGCTGCCACTCCGACGGTGGCAGAGGGCGGGGGAGGGTTCAGTCGCAGCTCAAGCACTCCCAACTGCCTTTGGCCGGGAGGGATCCAGTGTCGGAGCTGTCGGCAACGCGGATTGGCAGCCCTGAGCTACTTCTCAACCAGTTTGCTAACGCAACGTCCAAATCCACAGCAACACCAAAACGACCCAAGAAGTCCTTTCCAAAATCCCAGATACAATCCAAAATTCTCCTGCATCCTAGGAAGGCGTGATAGAGGGCACCACCACCGCCGCCGCCGCCACCACCACCGCCGCCGCCGCCGCCGCCACCACCACCACCACCACCACCAGCAGCAGCAGCACCACCACCACCACCATGGGAGGTAGATTGGGACCTGGGTGCCTTCTTTTGGCCCAGCTTTATCTGACATTGTTTGGCAATTCTGAATGCATGTCGAAAGGCCTGTCTACTGAGTTTACTGGGGGCCTCAGCTAGAACCTGTTCAAGTCCAGCCATTTGTACTCACTGCACGATCCGGAAGTGCTGCAGCAGTCATTTCAGGCGGGAAAAGAACCACCCAAGCACGTTGAGAAGCAGCAACCAAGGGCTCGGCTCCTTTGTCAAAGCTTGGATCTGCGCAGGCATCTCGGACACTTTGCTATCCTCCACCTGCCAGGCATGGTTGCGAGTTGCGATGATGCCAGAAGAGTGTGGGACCATCACGAGTGCGCAAACTGGCGCATGCATTTTTTCATGAAGCAGCGGAGCGCGACCGGCCTCCGCGTGCCCAAGAACGGCTTCCAACGTGCCTAAAAAGCTGCCGCCTAGCGTCCCAAACGGCCTCCACGGCCCCCCAAAACGGCACCCCGAAACCGCATCGGAACAGACCCCTCGTCATGCCTATTTTCAAGGCCCACGGGCTGGCCTCCCAAAAACCCTCCTGCAGTGAGGTCTGGCCCGCGAAGCACCGCAAATTTGACCGTTTTGGGGGGTTTCCCTTCTCCCACACCCCCTTCGTACAGATCAGCAAAGCTGGACTCAGACGAAAGCTTAGAGAAGCTTTCGTAATAAATGCAGCTCCGTGCTCATAGGGGTTCATGGCAACATGAGGAGAGAGAGAGAGAGAGAGAGAGAGAGAGAGAGAGAGGAGAGAGAGAGAGACAAAAAAGAGACACGGAGGGGGAGCATAAACGAAACAAGGAAGCAATGAGTAGAGCAAGCATGTCCGAGGTGATTCCAAAAGCTTTTGGTGAGAATCCACACCGGCCTCAACAGCTGCCAGGTCGGACACCTGCGCCTCGGCTCAAGACTTAATTGAGCCTTGTGTCAAAAAGGGAAACGCGGATTCTTGGGAAACGCCAGATAGCAAGTCCTTGCGAACTGCGGTGTGTACCCGATTTCGTGCAGCCTTGTCGCTATCGTCTCTGATGCCTTCTCCTGAACGGTCAGTAAGTGAGTAGTGCACACAACCGCGTGCAGCATTGCAACTTGGCAAGGGCACCATGGTCTGCTTTGATTGGATATGTTACCGTGAGGTTGCTAATTGAATC